GAATGAATAGATAAATAAATACACTCACGACAACTATCTCTGATGAAATAATTGGCGGAATTTAGCAACATTTTACTATTGTAGTGATCATAATGTTTGATATGTCCTCAATAAACCGAGCATCCAACATAACAAGAGACTAGCATACCGTCGTCACTCGAATTTAATATTAAATAGAATTTAGTTACTGTTAAAAAATATTAAATTAAATTTGGCAACATTTAATTCAAGTACAAAATACTCTAAGCTAACGCGTGGAAAACAAGCAGTGCACATTTCTAAATGGGTATAAATATAAATAAGTATTTCGAAGTAGAAGTGGAAATGTCGGTCGCACACCGCCGGCGAGGTAACTAAGCTAATTAGTGCTCCACTACATGCCTTGTTTAAGGTTTTTCCCCACGATCTTAATTAATGCATTTACTGAAGAACACCTGAGATCCGGTCTCGCTTAATTTTTAATTACATTGTAGTACTAGTACGGTGTACTTTGTCAAACACACTTGCCCCAAGAATGTAATATGACATGACGTTACATCCTAGTCGGTTAATTAAACCCTGATAGCAATAGAAAGCAATAATCTATACTAATTGTATTGACTATACATAAAAGTGAGTGGAAAGTAAAAGGAATAAAGTTTGTACGTGCTGTTACAGAAACTGCACGAAAAGTGTAAAAAGGAAATATTAAATGGACGACGATAATCTGCCGCAATACACTACTAGGTTTTGAAATATATTTGTTAGAAAAATGTTAATAAAGACAATAGTTTTATTTTCATTCTATTTTTATAATAAATGATATTTGTATATAATTATAATGTATAAATGTAGATGTGTACCATTTATTTTATATTAAAAAATAAATTCTACTACGTACTGTAATCAGAGGCATTTATCGAAAACTACCGTTATGGTGAACATAACGCTCAACATACTTTTCACCGAATATATTAGAATTAATTTGTTATCCGTATTTTCCATTGGTAAGTGTAAGTTTTTTTTTAGTCCAATTGAAACTCGCAATCTTTGTGGTCATAAGTCAAAGTAGTATACTATAGTGCCACTGAATCATGACGCTCTCGCTATTTTATTTTAATTTTTATTAATAATAATATAGTAATATATAATATACCTTAAATATTATGATATTAAATAAAATAATGTCTTTAAGTATATTTGAAAATGTCTCTATTATTATATCTTACATATTATATATCAGGGTGATAAGTTACAGCGGTCCAGCGGACTCTCGTATGAAATATTCAACTGAAAATAAACGACAATATTATTCTCAACGTCTGTTTAAAGTTGTTTTATTTGTTTTTCTTTAAAGTTGAGAATTCTGCTAAAATTCCTTCAATTTTAATCTAAATAGATAAACTAAGATATACTGTCATAATCTCAATAGAGCTATTTTCCTCGAAAGAAGAGAATTATATTACCTATTTTAAAAATTATAAGTGGGTGAAATCGAAATGAAACTACTTCGAAATGCTCGTATCTTTTTTCGAATACTCTTTTTCTTGTATATTGTACTCACAAAGGACTAAGGCCTTACAACATCTTGACAATAAAAATGACTGTTGACATATTTCTAAATTCAATTCAATTAAATTCCTGGTAAATAATATCGATGCAGGAAAAAAATATCAGTTCAAATATTTTCAAAAATAAAGAATATTAAAATATTTTTTTTTCAATTATTTATTTCAAATTAAAGAGAAAAGAAACCGTATAGATACGATTAAAATATTTCTGACAATAGAAATTCTATTGAATCGAAATTAAAAGACAAGGCTGGCAAACCGGTAGATGCGACATGGAGGCCTTACAAGTCGGTATGACAGAAATATATTCCAACAAAATTGACGTACCGTTTGTGAATAATCTATTTCCACTGCTTTTGTCTTATAATTTAAATACACATAATATTAATATTATATTTTGATAAAAAATATTATTAACATTGATATAACTAATGTACAGTTGCAACGTTGAATATTCTTTTAGCAACAATATTAAGTTTACTTTTTGTACGTAAACGACGCCTAGCCCGGCGGTGGCGTCTCAAAATGAAATACTTTAGTAATCATTGTTGGGTAGGTCGGGCGAAATGAGAGTGCACTAAATGAGACCCTTTGAGGCAAATACCAACTTAGATAATGAGGATTTTCACCGGGAAAACTCAGTTTTGTAATTTGGACTCGGATCCTTGGGAACCCTTAACTTTTGCATTGAACTTTATAATTTAATGAGCTTAGTGAAAATCGTTGGTTTTCTATTTTTAATATACAAATAAGAACTCATAACAAACAAAACATATATTTTTTACAGTATTTTTTAGGCCATATGCCTAATACGGGATAACGAGATAAAACATACATGGCTTGTACACGATGAGTTACTGAAAATATTACTACGTTTTCACTTAGTGTGTTTTGTGCATCATTTTAGCGCGCCGCCGTTCTTGCCTCCGCACTTTCCGCGGGCACTCCATTACTGTAACACACGGTAACATGTAGCCGCAACACTACCTACTGTAAGTACCCCCGGGCGACGCGAGAATATGTCACATGTCCCGTAACGCCCACTCTCCCCCTACCGTGGGGGTGTGACACTGGAGCTGAATTAAATAATGGATTGCTTTGCATAGCCGCCAGCTTATTCTATTTACTCATAAATAAAATTTATGAGCTAAGTTACGCGGCAATTAACTTTGAAAAATTTGGAAGCGAACACATGGTTGGTTTATTATGGAAAGGTGTATTGGAAAGGTTATTAGACGATTTTTTGACCGCAACGATATAACGATAAATATTTTACGTATTATTTTATATCATACGCACATAAAATTAGTACACTACTAAAGTACTGTTGATTATATAAAACAAAATGTTATATTTATTCTTTTCATTGTGCGATTAAACAATATTTTACGAAGCAAAAGACAATTCTGAGGAAAGTACCATAACAAGCTACAGACAGCAACGAAAGATTTTTATCTCGCGCCGCTTTGTTTCAAGTGTCACCCACATTACCGGCATTCTTATCATCTTCAGAATTTAAATAGACCTTTATACTATTTTTATTTTAAGGGGCATGACAACCGCAACACAACACGACCCACCAAAATAACCTTCAAACTATGCCGTACCTAGTAATACGCATCTGTAAAGGGGAGGGGCCGGGTTTGTAATATTAATGGTATTGCCCAAGGTATGCTTGGATTTTACTCATTAGGGGTATTATGCGGCCGTTTGCGAAATGATAAATGAGTATAGGATGGTATTATGAGAAAAGCGACTTGCGGACCCGGTGGTGTTTTGTTAATGTTTTACTATGGCTTTGTAGGGCTTACAAATAAGCTGCAAGCTTTTGTGCCGGTTGTTATTACTGGTGCTTTCAATTGTATACGAAATTTGTTCTTTCATTTGTAATCAACATAATGTACAAGATCATTTATGTGTAAACAATACTTTTCACGAGTCGAATTTCAATGCACGTTTGTGACTTTGAACAATTGGAATTTGGTAATCTGTTTTTGACGTAAAATCTATATCTGTAATAGCTAGTGGTTTATTTATGTTGTTATAATTACTGCAGTCCACGCATATCAGCCCACACCTACGTCTACTATAATTCATCGTGTAGTATAAATTATACGAGCGCAATCTTGGGAGGGGGGAATAGCAATTAAGCCGAGAACCTCGGTTATTTACTGGCACATATAAAATGTGTGCTATCGGACATTATTAACGGTGTAATATCGCAACAAAAACTGATCAATACAGCCTCCAATAATAAGGTGGGCAATGTTCACGGTTGTAGGTATAGATAGATATGTGTAATCGCATTTGTCAGGGTACAAATTTCATTTTTCCAAAACGTGCATCGGTGCAGTTCATTGTACCAAATAGACATTGTAATACTGTGGCTCAATCTATTTTAACCCATTTCTAGTAAGGTGCTTAAGTAGAAACAGAGGGAATTACTATAAAAACAAAACATATATACTATGTAAAAGATTATATGTATTTATAAAAGAATGTTCAGATAGGTATGACAGCAGATAAGAATTAATGAAAGAAAAAGTATATTGTGCATTCTCCAATTAATGGTAAGCAAAGACAATAAAGTTTTAACTGTATCGTATTGACAAATACCTTAGTACTAAATATATAATTATACAACATATGTGTAAAACCTTTTTCCCCTGGGATAGGTAAAATCTTATACACCACATATTCCCATTCATACTGTAAAAATAAGCCCGATTTAATTTTAAATGGTTAAATGAACTTTCATGCAAATATAGGTACTTTGATTTTATGGCTCCTATAAATAATTCACTTGCACTTTCTACCTCACTACGAGTAAAAATTATGAATAAATTATTTGTATCTATCGGTTAGTGGAAAACGTTGATAAAGAATATTCTAAATAGATACTTAAATATATTTATGTAAAATATACTGCCCATTCCGTTCCTTAATTATAGTACAAATTTTACTGTTCATTAATTATTGTATTGTAATCTTTATTATAACTTCGTTATATGGCATGTTGATTAAATAACCTACATACTTCTCCATATAAATAAAATGGTATCTATAACCTTCTCCATTCCAAATACGAGTAGTACCTGCGTGCTAAATTTCATTATCAAGGCACCAAGAGTTACCTAAAGTAAACTTTTAAATTCGTTCTTGCGCGTTTTATAAACCCTGTAGTAAAATTATAGGTTTAAATCGGCATTTGTAGTGTCTGCCTTGATATGTCCATCTTTTGAAAGTTGTTTTAACATGGTCAGTTTGAAGTGCAGGATATGGCAGAGAAATCACTAGGTATAAAGACTTAGCTCTCAAAAATAGTAAAGCCATCCTGTAACCTACTTTCTCGTTTTCAATTCCAAAAATATTTAAAAAAAAACATACACACTTATCAAAGCGACATTCAATCTCTTGTCATCATTTCAATATATGTTTTTGTTTTCACAGACGTACCCGGATGAGCGAGCATGTCGACGTGAACGGCCATCTCCTGGACTGTTCACCTCAATAAAACTCCCAGAAGCCGAGCCCCCAAACGGAGTGGCGCCCCTGCTGGACTTCCCGCGGGGGCGCATGCGACCAGTCACTTTCCTAGGAGAAGGCCCTCATGGGACTGTATGTACTATTTTAATATATATCCAATTTTATTTCTTTTTCAAAGTGACAATATTTGGTATATGCGTGCCTGTGTGTGTGGAAGCGTGTATGTATATGTGTAAGCGTGCGTGTAATACGAGATATGCTTATTAATTTTTAAATAATTGGAAGTATTTTTAACCCATAACATATAATCTTACATTAGTTAAATTTCTGTTGAATAATGACATGAGATTATTGAGATTATTTTTATTTTCTCCTTAAAATAGTCCCAACCAAATATAAAACAATAATATTAATTAAAATCGTCGTAAAGATTAAAAACGTTATCTTCTTTAGCGACTATAACTTCATCAAGTTTCTCGTTAGATTTACTATTTTTTTTTAATTGCATTTAATCCAGATTTCGCTGAGTCTGCCACCTTACTCCATTGCGACTTGGCCTCCTCCTTTTTTTAAGACTCCTCTGATAGTTCCTTTAATTTCAATGCTAGTTCATGAACATACATCATTTGTTAGAGTATATTTTTGACAATGTTTCGCACATCTTTATCCATTATCGTTTAATCATCTATTTGTTTAGCTGTTATGAAAAAAAAAAACATTAATTAATATAATAAAATTTACAAGTACAAGACAAGTAGACGTAGAAGTAGAGAGTTACTCAAATAGCTCTTATTGAAAAAGACAATACAGTGATTATGGATATAAACAATTACAATAATTATGAAAAACATACCTAACAGCGAATAAATAATAAATTTTAAGAATAATTTAAGTAAACCCAAATTACCTTCTTTCTTTTAGTCAACTATATACTACTATAAATGTTATCTACTGAGAGTTTCTTTTTAAGGTTCTTTTTATAAAATTATCCATTATCTTTTATATACACAACAATTTTTATATTATGTTTTAATGAATTAAACTCGTCTCATTTATGACATTTTTATAACAACATATTTTTTAATATTTTTATAGCTATATGAATATCTGTGGGAAATTTTCTATGAGTAAAGAATACCACTGCAAATCTTTAATTAAATTATTTTAAAACTATGAGATTTATTGTCATTTAACAGAACTAACAAACTATTTTTTAAATTATTTTCTTATGATGAAAAAATTTCGCAAATGGTTACTGCACGTTTTTTTCTGTAAATTATATAAAACTGTCTATATACACTCGCGGAAAGTTTCCGTGCAAAATAATATTTAATACATATAAAATACCAATGCGGCTTTATTCTATCAATACATTTATTTTATAGCCGTTAGTCCATAATTACTGAAGTGCCACCACAATAAATATCAGGCAATAACTTCAATTGCAAAACTACCGTACAATATGAACTATGCAATGAATGATAATTAAAATGGACTATGAACATTGGGGCCACAATGTAGGAACGTCAATTCCCAACTAATATAGAAAAGTTTGTTTCATAAATAGCCAGTATTGAAAATTATAACAAGTTCCTTATTTACGCGAAAATTTCGATAATATTGATCTATTTTGAGCTATATGTTGTAAGTGATGTTAATGATAAATTTTCAATGAGTAATATTTACTATCGATTATGTGTAGACCACAAATAAAATAAATAAACTACTAATATGTAAAAAAAATACTTCTTTCTTTGTATTAATAATACAATCAATGCATAATAAATTTTCTTGTTTACCATGTAAATAAATGAATCGACATATACTAGGTGAAATGTTCATAACCGGCTATTAAAAATTAACATTACAATCCCTAGAACAAGGGTTGTAATACAAAATTAATGTACATCCAAGTTTCAGTGAGGTAGGGAGAACCTTTTGTAAAGCAACAATATATTATTAAACCACCAGAATATTGGCCAAATTGTAATCGTAGTTATTAGTGTTCATAGTTATATAAATGATTATTGTTTTATATAATTGGTATATTTCAGTATGGTCAGGTAATTTAAATCACTATTTTCTCTAGACCAGTGTTTTTCAACCTTTTTCATAACACAACATATTATGAAAAAATATTTCGCGACCCCCGACTTATTTTTTTGTTAGTTTGTATTTACATGCAAATGTTTTAATTATCATTATTCTTAATAAGTATATATACTATATTAGGCAATATAACCCAAACATTAAAAACACTGGTCTGGACTTATAACAAAGTGGTAGGTTTGGTCTTTAAACTGCTTAAAACACATCAGTACGCCATGATGGCTTGTCATACTCGTGAACGTGTACTGCGTGCAAATACTGATCTGCTCAAGTTTACTACTTCATAAAATAGACCATAATGGCTAGCCACACCCGTGAACGAGTACTACTTGTAGGGGCTGATCTGCTCAAGTTTACTACTTCATAAAATAGGCCATGACGACTAGCCACATTTGTGAATGGGTACTACTTGTAGGGGCTGATCTACTCAAGTTTACTACTTCATAAAATAAGTCATGATGACTAGCCACATTTGTGAACGGGTACTACTTGCAGGGGCTGATCTGCTCCAGTTTACTATTTCATAAAATACGCCGTGATGGCTAGTCACATTTGTGAATGGGTACTACTTGTAGAGACTGATCTACTCAAGTTTACTATTTCATAAAATACGCCGTGATGGCTAGTCACATTTGTGAATGGTTACTACTTGTAGGGGCTGATCTGCTCAAGTTTACTGCTTCATAAAATACGCCGTGATGGCTAGCCACATTTGTGAATGGGTACTACTTGTAAGAGCTGATCTGCTCAAGTTTACTGCTTCATAAAATACGCTGTAATGGCTAGTCACAAGCATGAACGAGTACTACTTCTAGGGGTTGACCCTCTCAAGTTTACTACTTCTTATTTTTTTTTTTATTACAAATACATAACATAAAATATATATTATTCTATACTCCTTTTCTATTTTTCCACCTAGGGCCCAATTTGCAATTTGATTTTTACGAGTTCAGGTTAAACAACCAGTAAATCACGACGCCCCTGTTAATTGTGTTTATCTCTACTAAATATCATTATTGATGCTTATAATTAATCATAAATAGTACCCACTCGGCAAGCAGACACCTCTCTCGATAATTGCTGAACGGTTTTAGCCTAATCTCGGAGCCAGCTGCGTCATAGTAATCTACAAATGAAACTAAAATTAACAAGCACGAATAGTACTGAACCAGCATAACTCGCCTTCCACGTGTAATTAGGATTTGTTGCCAAAACGTTCAGTTCGTTTCTGCAAACGCTTTCAAGCGATACAGCCACTCAGTTAATTCGTACGCTTTTAGCTCTTTTCATGGATGTTATGGCGCTGTAGATTCACACGGTAAGTATCTACTGTTATTTATTTATGTACTAGTTCTATTGGCAATGTGGATTCTTTAATTTTTGTTGTATCGATACGAGTAAATTTATATATCAATATATATTAATTATATCAATAATATGACGTTAAAATAAAGGATTTTTTCTTGCGTAAAACTTAGTCAAAGATTTCCCTAGCATATTTTTTATTCATCAAAAAGAAAATATAGAATTACAACAGCGTAAAAACTACATATACTACTATGAGACATTGATGATCTCTCACAAACTCACATAGCTTTAGTAACTCAGTAATGGCACATTGTTGGATATAAATCAGACCTCCCCATAAAAGAAGAATATAGTTCATATTACCACACTGGCTAAGTAGCCCGGTACAGGGTTTTTTATCATTTGCCTCTTCTTATGCTTGTGTATTAAACTACTTTGTTCACTTATTTCTCTGTTAGAACATCATGTAGGGATGAGGATTGATAATGACTATCTATCACCACACGAATAATCATTCATTTTCTAAATTGTTACGATTTAGAAAGAAACCCAGGACCTTGTTTACGCAAAACACCACTGTGCCCCGGATGTCGTCCGACATATTATGCCATAATTTGGAATATTCTTTTATATATACCTTATATTAAATACACAATCGGTACTTAACGCGATGTGAAAGCCTTTATATGTAAATAGTACCTACATACCTGTTTCTTTATTGCCGACGCTTAATCCCGATTGTGTATTTAAAATATGTGTCAACAACGCAAAAGTTTAATATATTATTTTATATATTATTGTAAAATACTACTCTTGAACAATATTGTTAAATTAAAGAATTTTACAATTACTATTGATACTACGAACATTCCTCTTAATAAATTAATCATCAAAGTAACTGCAGGCACTTGACAACAACTTGTAAAACCTCGCTTATGTGAGAGGCGGATATTCAGCAGTGGCTGATATGATAATGATGATTAATGCTGTGAAGGTGTTTTTTCTCTACTATCAAGAAGTTCAGATCCACACATCTATCGAATTTCTCTAACGTTATTCCGAAACACGAAACTAATAACAATCATTTAAAAACTATCCAAACATAAATTTATAAAATCAGATGTATAGACTGAGAGTCGATCTTGGATCTTCGGACCGCAGTTAAGAGTTTTCCCACTGAACTGTCGCCATAACGACAAAAGCCGATAACGAAATTAGCTCAACTATAATCTAAAAGTTACGACCAGGTGAAATTATATTTTTCGTATATAACAAGATAAAATTCTGCTATACTATGTTATTACATTATGAAAATCGAATCATTTGGCACACAACCAACTGACACCACACTCAATTTTAGACAAGACAGCATTATTTTTTATCCAATTTACTTTCACGAAAATGTACCCTTTATTTTTTATTGATGGTATCAAATTACTGATAGAAATCCTATATTGTTGTCTTATACGTACTACGTACCTTTTACTTATTTATGTAAATACCTTCTATTACCCTTTCCCGCTCCTACATCTATTAGGTATCTTCCGTTTCCTTAAGAAATTTTTAAAAACTTTTTCCTAGTAATATCTGCACCCAATAAGGAATCGAAATGTTTTAATTTTAAAATCGTAAATCAAGCAATTTAGAGATGTCATAATTAATGAGCAAACGACTGCACTATAATTTCCTATAAGTTTACTTAAATTATATAAATT